GGGCAGGAGGAGAAGGGGACGACAGAGGATGAGATGGTTGGATGGCATCACCGACTCGATGGACATGAGTTTGAGTAAACTCTGGGAGTTGGTGATGGACAGGGAGGCCTGGCATGCTGCAGTTCTGGGGTTACAAAGAGTCAGACACAACTGAGCGACTGAACTGAACTGAACTTATATTTAATCCCGATGTTTCAGCGATATAAGCAAGGGACGGCCTCAAGCAGTAATAGCTGTTGTGGATGCGTTTATATCTTAACTACTGGATCTCCTTTCTACTCTTCGCTGCCATTCTTCCTAAAGCAGCTCAGTAGAGGCTTTCTCACTTTTCCTGCTGGCGCCATACTGAGAGTGAGAAAGAACTAGGGAGTCTGTGTTCCTAACTTTCCAAATCAAAATAAGGCAGTGAACTTGGGTCAAATTCTATAATGTCACAATCCATTTACAAAATGAATTAGTCTTTTGCGAGTTATCTTAGAAATGTAATGTTCATTAATTACACAATCTTTTATAAAGAAAAAAAAGTTTTTTTTTCAGTTCCAAATAACTTANGTTTTGTCTCATTCTTTTGCTATCCCACAGTTTAAGTTGCTATCTCACAAAAGATCCCTCTGATTGTCCTCAGGGCACTCAGGCCCGGTCCTTACACTAACAACTACCACCCGCTCCTCTCCGTTCTGCCCCCATTTGCTGGTGGTGGATGCTGGCATCCGGGGTACTTTTCTGCTGGGAGTTGTTTTTAGGCGTGTATCTGTGGGGGTTATTTATTCATTTATTTGTTTTCCTCCCAATTAGGTTGCCCTCCGAGATTCGAAAACTTCCCCCAGACCCGCCAGTGTGAGGGTTTCCTGGTGTTTGGAAACTTCCTCTATTAAGACTCCCTTCCCGGGACGGGTATCCGTCCCTAGCTCTTTTGTCTCTCTTTTTATATTTTATATTTTGTCCTACCTCCTTTCAAAGACAATGAGCTGCTTTTCTGGGCGCCTGATGTCCTCAGCTAGCGATCAGAATTTGTTTTGTGAAGTTTGCTCTGCGTTGAATTGTTCTCTCGATGAATTTGTAGGGGAGAAAATGGTCTCGCTGTGCTATTCCTCCGCCATCTTGGCTCCTCCCCTCCTCGAAAGGTTATTTCTAAACCATGAACAACTATGTCTTTCATGTTTCAGCAACAAACTTTGACTACTAGTCAGTCAGCAGTCTAGATCATGCAGGCTGCATCTTGTGTAATGTGTTCTCGAACTGATGTGTCAAAACTATTCCAGGTCTCGTACCGTGCATCATATTTCTTGCATCTAATGAACCTGCATCCCACTGCACACATGCCACTATCCTTGAGTTTGCATTCGTGAGCATTTGCCTTTCCATTACCCAAATATTGTCCAAGATCTAGAGCAACCATCCCACGCCTACTGAGCTTGTTCTCTGGAGCATGCTTCTGAACATCATGATCCAGCGTTCTTCAAGTATACATGAAAGCGATGGGAATACCAGACCACCTGATCTGCCACTTGAGAAATCGGTATGCAGATCAGGAAGCAACAGTTAGGACTGGAAATGGAACCACAGGCTGGTTCCAAATAGGAAAAGGAGTACATCAAGGCTGTATATTGTCACCCTGCTTAATTTATCTTATATGCAGAGTACATCATGAGACCGCTGGGCTGGATGAATCACAAGCTGGTATCAAGATTGTCAGGAGAAATATCAATAACCTAGATAGGCAGATGACACCACCCTAATGGCAGAAAGTGAATAACTGAAGAGCCTCTTGATGAAAGTCAAAGAGGAGAGTAAAAATGTTGGCTTAAAGCTCAACACTCAGAAAACTAAGATCATGGCATCCAGTCCTATCACTTCATGGCAAATAGATGGGGAAACAGTGCAAGCTATTTTTGGCTATTTTGGGGGGCTCCAAAATCACTTCATTTGGTGGTTGTAACCATGAAATTAGAAGATGCTTACTCCTTGGAAGGAAAGTTATGACCAACCTAGACAGCATATTAAAAAGCATATTACTTTGCCAACAAAGGTCCGTCTAGTCAAGGCTATGGTTTTTCCAGTGGTCACGTCTGGATGTGAGAGTTGGACTATAAAGAAAGCTGAGCACAGAACAATTGGTGCTTTTGAGCTGTGGTGTTGGGGGAGATTCTTGAGAGTCCCTTGGACTGCAAGGAGATCCAACAAATCCATCCTAAATGAGGTCCAACCAATCCATCCTAAAGGAGGTCATTCCTGGGTGTTCACTGGAAGAATTGATGTTGAAGCTGAAGCGCCAATATTTTGGCCACCTGATGCGAAGTGCTGACTCATATGAAAAGACCCTGATGTTGAGAAAGATTGAAGGCAGGAGAAGGGGACGACAGAGGAGGAGATGGTTAGATGGCATCACTGACTCGATGGACATGAATTTGGGTAAACTACGGGTGTTGATGATGGACAGGGAGGCCTGGCATGCTGCGGTTCATGGGGTCACAAAGAGTCAGACATGACTGAGTGACTGAACTGAACTAAACTGATGTTCCTAAACTACTTAGCTTGGACTCTGAGCAAATACACTACCCTCGTGAGAGAACACTCTGAAGTATGTGTACTGCCACTTCAAGTCATGTGCTTTAGATGATACATGATGTATCTAATGAGCTTTCACACTTGAGCACAGGTCTTGCCATAATATAACCCAAAGTTTAAAGCATGCGCATGCCACTACAAACCCATGATCTAGAAAAAGGGTGTGCTTCAAAAACTTAGCCTGTACTTTTGAGAACATGTGCCACATCTCCTGGATATGCTTCTAGAACATGCTTCCTCCCATACCTGAGTCTGTGATCTAGAGCAGACACTAGTCGATGATCTACTGTCAGCTAGTGGGATGGCACTCCAGAGCCTGTGTCTCACCATCTCTAAGCCTGAGTTTGAGAGTAAGTGTAGTTAAACTACTGACCTTGTAGAGTCTAGAGCATGCATCTTTCCACTACTGTCCTTGAACTTTAGAACAGGCTGTCTGAAAATCAGCTGACACAAGATAAGATGCATCCAGCTATTACCGAGCCTGCATTCTAGTGGACATTTCACACCACTACCGAGTCCATTCTCTACAGCAGGATGG